GGCCCCGCCGCCGCGCGCGGGTGAGTGTGCGGGCCGGGCGCATTCCCGAGGGCGCGGGCCTGTGCGGCCGCATTGTAGGCCGCTTAGGCCGGGCGGGCGGGACCCGGAAGAGGGGCTTGGCGGGTGCGGGCCAGGAGGGCGAGGGGAGGCTATGTGGGCCGGGAGTGTGTGCGGGGAGGGTATGCGGGCTCCAAGGGTGTGAGGGGAGGGTGTGCGGGCTCCGAGGGTGTGAGGGGAGGCTGTGCGGACCGGGAGTGTGTGCGGGGAGGGCATGCGGGCTCCGAGGGTGTGAGGGGAGGCTGTGAGGGGAGGCTGTGAGGGGGCCCTGGAGTGTGTGAGGGGAGGGTGCAAGAGGAGGCATGCGGGAGGGCCCAGGCTGTGCGGGGAGGGGGGGTGGGGCGTGTGAGGTCCAAGGCTGTGGAGGCAGGCGTGTCAGAGGGGGGATGCTAGCAGGGGATGGAGAATGCGAGAACTGTTGACACTGTCGTGTGTGAACACGGAAGAAGCAGACTTTGGTTCAGGAAGTGCAGACTCTTGGTTTGGGGGAGAGGAAGGGTGTGAGGAAGACCCCGGTTTCCGAGAAGGGGTGGGTGGTGCTCCTGGAGGAACCTGGGGTGGGAAGCTGCTGCGTTTGATTGTGTGGTGCCAGGTGTGTTGTGGTTCTCCTGCCTGGGGTATGTTTTGTGGTGTGGGTGGGGTGCAGAGTAGCTGCTGGGCCCAGACATTCTGTGCAGGGATCTTGGAGAAAGACAGGGCAGTGGAGCGTCCCTTCCCTCTCCCCCCAGCAAAGAGTAGGAGTGAGTGAATCTGTGCCCTGGGCTGCGTCCAGCTGTGGGTGGCCTGTCCAGTGGCTGTCCTCTCTCAGATTGATGCCTTGCCTCCAGCACTCTCTCTCCGGTGTGGATCTTAGATTCTGCCTCCACTACATGTTTTGGAATTCAGTCCCCCATGGAACCAGAGCTGCACAGCCAGGGCAGTGAAACTTGTAGCTCGGCACAGAGGACAGTAGAGAATAATACACCAGATCTCTGGGGATTTTTCTCAGCCCATCTCTAAGATAATTTGTAAAGAGTTCTTATTGTGCATCTCGGCTTCTCCTCTTTGCTTGCATTTTATGTTCTTTGCTTCTTTAGGAAGAATCTCGGGCATACTTAGACCCACAGGCTCTGTTTTGGAGAACACACACAGTCTAAACCTGACCTCCCAAGATAGTCGGCAGTATCTGGGTTTCAGTTTTAAGAACTTCTATTCAGGGACAAGGATGGGAGAGCATGCAAAATACAGTGTTTCTGTTTGATTTTCAGCAGGTGTTGGTGTTTCTTGGATTTCTAGTTTCAGAAAAGCTAAGTGGACTTTTTTGGGTTACATTAGTCATTGAGAATTGAGGTGGTGGGGGAATGCATTGTGTATAAACGGTAGACCTGACCCTTCAAGAGTTTAATTAGCAGACAGTTGGGAAAATGTCATTCTTGCTCTGTTACTTCCACGCTCCATATAGATCAAAAGTTCAAAAGTTATATTTGACTAAAATAAATAAATACATACACATCTGTAGCATCGAGCTGGCTGCCCTGGTACCCAGGGGGTATGCCTCAGCAGTGACTAAATGAGATTTTAAATGCCGTATTGGAGTTGTAGATTCCTTCTATGGAATCCCTTTATTGATGGTGGTTACAGGCTGTTGGCCAAACTCAGTGCTTGTGGGCATTTGACTCTAACCTGAATTAACATAACTGCTTTCTGTGTGGTATGCACGTGTGCAGACACTAAATGCTGGTGTGCTCCTCTGTGGGAACCCAGAGGTTGCAGGACCTGGAGCACGTTTCAGTGTCATCAGTAATTTGGAGAGGTGTTCATGTGCTCCCAGGGACACCAAATGTCTCTGTCAGTTGACAGCCAAAAATAGATGTGAATTACAAGGAATGTTTCTTTTGGGAAATGAAACATAGTTTAAAATGATTAGAGGGACTTGTTCACACATGAATTAAAACGTTAGTTTTTTAAGACATCCACTGTTTTGTAATGAATGGCTAGGTCTTGAATTTGCTGCTTGTTCTATAGCACAATAATTTAGCGTCTGTAAAGAGTTAACATTTGGCATCTATGACAAGTGTTGTTTTCCTTTATGTCAATGAATTAAATATTGGTGCTCATTAGTTGCAAGACTTTGTGCTAGGTGCTGTGGGTTCTGCAGAAAATGTTTAAATCAGCCTGCTACAAATAATTTACATAGAAGACATAAGCACCTTAAGAGAAAGTGACAGTGACTCCTAATTAGCCTCCCATTTGCACACAGTGACTTGGTTCTTTCTCAAGGCTAGTGAACTACAAGGCATCTCCAAGGGTAAGGCTCAAGGGCCAGGTGCTGGCCCTCTTTCCTAAGATGGCGTCCCGGACAAGAGGACATTAGACGTCCCCAAGCTGGTGTGGAGCTGAGACACCAAAGGTGCTCATTCCAAGTTGATAGGGCTCAAAGAAAGCAACTTTGCAGTTGAAGTGGTCCAGGAGCAGCAGGGTGCCATAGCCCATGGGCCTTGACCTTAAGAAACAGGCCATTCCTGCCAAGGCTGAGATTACAGCCTACCCAGTAGTTTACATAGAAAGTCATTAGCTGCAGAAATGTCATTTGGGGCACATAATTGTGACCTATTCTCTGTCTCTGGATGCTTCTCGCTTCTAGCCATCTGCAGCTGCCGGCAGGTGAAGTGTGTGCAGCATGAGAAGGCAGGTGTGAGGGGGTGGGTTACACGTACACCAGTGTGAAGTAGCCCTGAGTGTGAAGTGGTGGCTGGGGAGAGCTACCCTTTGTGTTGGAACCAGGTTTTAGGGTTTTATTTTGCTCCCTCTGGCTTTTTCAGCGCTCCAGGTGGTTAGACTGGACATGCTTCTAGCCAGCCCACTTATCTCATGGCAGGCCGTGTTGCAGTCACCCCCATGGCCGGGTTGGGAAGTGTAGCCAGAGCTCGTGGGCTCTGTGAGCTCCTGTAGGATGCAGCAGGGAGGACTGAAGACCATGCAGAGTCCTGATCCAGGACAGTCCCCCCTCACACCCCAGGCAGGCTTATAGCAGCAACAGCAAACCTGTAGTTCCTTGACCTCCAAGAGGGTGGGTGGTTTGGTTTTCAGCTTATGAGTTAAATTGTGTGAGCTGTCTGCTTCCTTAGCTAAAAGGTATAATGGTATTTGGTGTCATTTTTCTGTACCTTCTCTGTTTCTCGGAGTACTCAATTGCCGTTTGTTATCAGAAGGACACTTTCTTTATAAGCAAGGTTTTAAAAGTGCAACTTTCTGATGGAAGCACTTGCAAGATGGTCACACTGGTGATGTAGCAGGCCCCTGTGTGTGTGCGTGTGGTGGTGTCCTTTGATCATTCAGTTGAAGATGCTGAGGGTGACCCACGATGGGCTGCTCTCTCAGCAGTGTTGAGAGTTAAGGGACAACTCGCCCATGTGTCTGCACATGTTGTGAGGCATCCTAAGTGTGAAGTGGTGGGGCAGGCAGAAAGTACAGTGGCTTTCGCCTGGACAGCGTGGGAGCAGACACGCCCGCCCACCTTCTGGTGTGCGACATGCCTTCCTGTCCGTATGTGAGTCTCGAAGAGACCCTGTGGGGCAGGAGGGCGGTCATCCTTATATCACGTGTGAGGGACCGGCTCTCACCCAGGCGTGTACGACTAGGAATAGAAGCTCCTTTCTCTCCTCCAGTCCTCCTGCCTTCGTGGAGCTGGCGGAGATGGACTGGTCACTCAGCTCTGTAGCTGAGACGGGAGGTCCCCAGGCTGCTGGTTTCTGATGTTCTCGCAGAATGACACTTGAAGGGAGAGGTGCTCTCCATGTTCTGGGCATTCATTTCTTAGCACCGAAGGCGTTCCTATGGTTGTAAAAGTTGTTAGAGATTGGTTTAGTATAGCACAAACCTTGTGACAAAAGATTGAAAATTTAAACTGCATTTCTGGTTTTGAGTTCGAGCGGGAGGGCGTCATTCCAGGTCTTGTCTTGAGAAAACCTCTTGGTCATGTTTCCATGGACCCACCTTTCCTAATCCTTGTCCTCTTAATGGTTTCAACAGGACAGATTGATTCACTTTGGAGCTGTAAGTACTGATGTATTAGGGTGCAGCGCTCATTGTTCATTGACGCACAGAGTCCCAAAATGAATATCCAAGAGCAGGGTTTCCCCTTGGACCTCGGAGCAAGTTTCACCGAAGATGCCCCCCGACCCCCAGTGCCTGGTGAGGAGGGTGAACTGGTGTCCACAGACCCTAGGCCCATCAGCCACAGCTTCTGCTCCGGGAAAGGTGCCGGGATTAAAGGGGAGACGTCAACAGCCACTCCGAGGCGCTCGGATCTGGACCTGGGGTACGAACCTGAGGGCAGTGCTTCCCCCACCCCCCCGTACTTGAAGTGGGCCGAGTCGCTGCACTCTTTACTAGACGATCAAGATGGGATAAACCTGTTTAGGACTTTCCTGAAGCAGGAGGACTGTGCTGACCTGCTGGACTTCTGGTTTGCCTGCAGCGGCTTCAGGAAACTGGAGCCCTGTGACTCGAATGAGGAAAAGAGGCTGAAGCTGGCCAAAGCTATTTACCGAAAGTACATCCTTGATAACAACGGCATCGTGTCCAGGCAAACCAAGCCAGCCACCAAGAGCTTCATAAAGGACTGCATCGTGAAGCAGCTGATCGATCCTGCCATGTTTGACCAGGCCCAGACGGAAATCCAGTCCACCATGGAGGAGAACACCTACCCCTCCTTTCTCAAGTCCGATATTTATTTGGAATACACGAGGACAGGCTCGGAGAGCCCAAAGCTCTGTAGTGACCAGAGCTCTGGGTCAGGGACAGGGAAGGGCATACCTGGATACCTGCCCACTTTGAACGAAGATGAGGAATGGAAATGTGACCAAGATATAGAGGAAGACGATGGCAGAGACCCTGCTCCCCCTGGCAGGCTCACACAGAAGCTGCTCCTGGAGACAGCCACCCCCCGCGCCTCCTCAAGTAGACGGTACAGCGAAGGCAGAGAATTCAGGTGAGTCAGACACGGGGCGTCCGTTTCTGTGCTCACCTCTGAGACCTGGAGAACTAGCAAGGGAAAGGTGTTGGTAAGGAGTGGTCTTGTCTTTCAGCCCCAAAGTGGGCGTACACCTGCTGCCGTGGGTGAGTTGTGGATTTCGTTCTTATTCATGATACCTTCATATTTGTCATTAGATGTTTTTAATATTTGTATGTTAAGAAGACTTTCGTCAAGAACAGACTGAAATATATGGCTTAGGAGCAGTAGAATTCTTAGAATAATGACATTTAAACTTTATGGTTTAGTAGTACAGTTTGTATCCTCATGCATAGAAGGTGGATTTACCTGGTAGACATAATCCTTGTGGCTTAATAAAGGGAGGAGTGGACTTTTAAATGCATCAGTACTTAGAGAATTCTGGGTCATTGATTTTTGTAACGACCTTCTAAGACTCTTCCTGGAGGTTGGGAAGTGGTGGTGGGGAGGCTGCTGTATGGCAGGTTGTCTGAGCACTTTGGGAACTTCCTATGGCTGTGGTTGCAGTTCTAGTTTGGACCTTTTTTCCCTGCCAGCAAAATGAGTTAGTGCTGTTGTGTAGTCAGTTCCCAGCAACCTGGACATTCTGAAGTTGTGATTACTGTGGAGGCATGAAGTGGTGCTATCAAGAAGTCCTTACAGCTTTGGAAACCCGGTTCTTCCTTCTTGGTGATCCCTCCTGTGGTTCCTGGGGGTTTATTTGCCACGGGTTGGAGCCCTTTGCTGATGTTAGCAGGGCACTTCTGTTTCTCACTCCTTTCCCATACTGGTCCTGGAGATGCCTGCCTGTGAACCTTTGAAAGCCTGGAATTCTTGTGGCTCTGCTGATCTAATCGAGTCTGAAAATACATCCCCAGGTGCTGGGGCTCTCCCGTGGACTTACTAAAAGCCTGGATCATTTCTTGAAGCTTACTGTGGCAGAGAAATTGACTATTTGCTGATAAACCCAGGATAAAACATTTCTAAGGCTTAAATATCCTTTAAGCCAAGTGATGTGATTCGAGAGACACTGTTTGAGGTCATTTTTGTGTGCCTTTAACTCATCGTCTTTAGCTAACTGCTATTGATCTTGCAAGGTTTTTTAGGACAGAGTATGCCATAAAGTTATCCTGGTAAGTAAGGCTGGTAACTGACACAGTTTTTAAAACCTAACATAAAAGTTTTTGTATTTGATTAGAACAGTTTTAAGATGGGATTAAATTTGACACCTGGGCTGCAGGGGGAAGAAATTGAGTTCAATTCTGATTTCTAATTTTAAAAATTCCTGAGTGCCACCCCTCCCCCAACCAGCCCAGTCTGCACACTTTTCAGTTCTCAGTTGTAGGCAGCAACTTTGCCTTTTCCTTCTTTGGTTTGCTCTATTTGTAATAAGTGACCTTTGCTATCAAATTAATAGAATATGTCGGCTTTGCGTGTCTAATAGCGTTCAGCTGTGAGGACCGTAGCACATTTTGGTTTTAACTGTTGTGGCTGCTGATGGCAGAGGGAGCCTGGAGTTCAGGAGTCCTGTCTGCAATCAAACACTCTCCCACTCAAGGTTGCCCATGGTAGTTTTGTGGGTGGAGGATCTAGGATGTCGGGGTCATCGTTTCTTTCTTTTTTTTTTTTTAATTTTTTATTTATTTATTTTCCCCCAAAGTCCTGGTAGATAGTTGTATGTCATAGCTGCACATCCTTCTAGTTGCTGTATGTGGGACGCGGCCTCAGCATGGCCGGAGAAGGGGTGCATCGGTGCGCGCCCGGGATCCCAACCCGGGCCGCCAGCAGCGGAGTGCACACACTTAACCGCTAAGCCACGGGGCCGGCCCAAGGGGTCATCGTTTCTTAGCACTGGCAGGGTTTGGAGTCCATCACATTCTCCTTGTCCTGCAAGCGTGTGCAGTTAGGATGTGCTAGGTTGGAAGTCACAGAAAATCCAGGTCACCTGGCTTCAAGGGTAAAAGGCTTGACTCAGAGCCAGCCCTGATGGCCTAGTGGTTAAAGATCTGCTCATTCCACCTCAGTGGCCCAGGTTCGCTTCCTGGTTGTGGAACCTCACCACTTGTCTGTCAGTAGTCATGCTGTGGCGGTGGGTCACATAGAAGAACTAGAAGGACTTACAACTAGGATATACAACCATGAACTGGGGCTTTTGGGAGAAGGGAAAAAAAAGGGTTGACTCAAGTAAGTAAAACGTCCAGAGGCAGGGCCAGCTTCAGATGTGGTTTGATCCAGATTCCAGCCATTTTTCTTTTAAAGACTTTAGGTTTTTTTATGTGTGTGTAAGGGAGATCAGCTCTGAGCTAACATCCATGCCAATCCTCCTCTTTTTGCTGAGGAAGACCGGCCCTGAGCTAACATCTATTGCCAATCCTCCTCCTTTTTTCCCTTTTTCTCCCCAAAGCCCCAGTGGATAGTTGTATGTCGTAGTTGCACATCCTTCTAGTTGCTGTATGTGGGACACCGCCTCAGCATGGCCAGATGAGCGGTGCATTGGTGCGCGCCTGGGCTCTGAACCCAGGCCGCCAGTAGTGGAGCACGCACAGTTAACGGCTAAGCCACGGGGCAGGCCCCTAAAGACTTTAGTTTTTTAGAGCAGTTTTAGGTTACCAGCAAAATTGAGAGGAAAGTACAGAGGTTTCCCATGCACCCCTGTCCCACACATGACAGCATCTCCTGTTATCAACCACTGGGCAGCACGTGTGTTACAACTGGTGAACCTGTGTGGACACATCACAGTCAGTCAGAGTCCGTAGTTTACATCAGAGTTCACTCTTGGTGTTGGACATTCTGTGAGTTTGGACAAATTTATACTGACATGTATCCATTATTATAGTATCATACAGAGTAGTTTCACTGCTCTAGAATTCCTCTGTGCTCTGCCTGTTCGTCCTTTCCTCCCCCCTAACCCCTGGCAACTGCTGATTTTTTTTACTGTCTCCATAGTTTTGCCTTTTCCAGAACGTCATATTGATAGAATCATACAGTATGTAGCCTTTTCAGATTGGCTTCTCTCACTTAATGAGACACATTTAAGGTTCCTTCATGGCTCGATAGCTCGTTTCTTTTTAGCACTGAGTACTGTTCCACCATGTGGACGGGCCACAGTTTATTTATCCATCACCAACTGAAGGACATCTTGGTTGCTTCCAGGTTTGGGCAATTATGAATATAAGCTGCAGTAAATATCCACGTGCAGGTTTTTGTGTGGTCGTGAGTTTTCACCTCCTTTGGGTAAATACCAAGGAGTGTGGTTGCTGGATTGTATGGTGAGAGCATGTTTAGTTTTGTAAGAAACCACACCTTTTCTTGATGCTTCTTTGCCTCTGCCTTCCCGTGGCCAGCTTTGCTCTCAGGTGGCTCCCTGTGTTGGAGGTGGCTGCCACACCAGCCTTGGGCTCTGGGCTCCCTTGTTTTTTAAACAAACACCTCCCACAGCATTGAAGGAACGTACTGCAGTTCCTTCTGAGTGACTGGGGACACTGTGTGCTGCTGTGTCCTGCCATCCCAGCGTAATTGTGTGCAAGGGCCCGAGACTGTGCTGCTGAGCTCACACCTCACCCCGGGAGGAAAGTGGGGTGCCTCACTCGGATAGCATGTCCACTCCCCAGTGAGGAAGAATGGTCCTTCAGAGGAAGATTGGGGTTAACGGGAAAGGGAAAAGGAAGGTGGGTGCTGAACAGGCAGCTAGTGAGTGCCCGCTATAGAGAGGAGGAGTCAGAGCGTAAACCTTGTTGGGGATACATGTCCTGTGGACAGCAGGTGCCTCTCTTAGCGTTAGTTCTGCGTGGAGGAGTGTCAGGAGGGCTGTGTCTAGGACAGGACGACCCCAGGGACTCCGGCACCAAGAGTGTCCTGGTTGCATGGGCTCCACAGTGTGGGCTGCTCCGCTTGTGCTCACTGGTGTTGTTCAGTCTCCTTGTCCCAGGCATGGGTGCTCCCTGTTCCCTGGTGGGGGGCCTGAGTGTCAGCCCTCTTTGGCTTTGTGTGTGCGCACGTGGCTGTTTTTCACGTAGCTGACTTGAGAAAAGTTAAATGGGTCTTCTACTTAGGTCTCTGTCAAAACTGAGAAAACAGCAATGCCCTGACGTTTTTCTACATTTATCCTAATCACTTGGGGTCATTTTGAGCTCTTGGGCCGAGGGAATTCCTTGCTGCTCTTCATTCTCTGTGTCTCTGTGTGGAAGACTTGCCCAGTTTTCAGTGCCTGTTGTCAGTGGAGTTTTGGATGTAACTTTGGTTGGTTCATGCCCACCACTTAAATTGGTGGGAATTGGCAAAGGGTCCTCTGGTGATGCAGGTGCTTGGCTGTTCATTTACTTACTGATTTGGCATTAGGGCCCAGGGGCCATGAGACATTAGCTGGCAGGCTCAGGTTTTACTCCCCTAAAAGCTTGGTCTGGCCTGCCAGGTGCCAGGTGTGTTCAGGGTCTGGCCATGGGAGGGCCAGTGTTGCGTTCTCCTGGGGGCCTGGTTGGTCAGGCCTGACGCCAGGCCATCTCCCTCAGCCCTTCAACCACCCGCACTTAGTGATTGCCCCTGGTTTTGATGTTTTCCATTTCTATTTACTACTTTTACCTTCCTCGTTGGCTGAGAAGTTCCCCGAGGACAGGATCTCAAGGGATATTTTTTTGAGTCTTCCTGATGGGCCAGCCCAGTTAAGTGTTCCTGGTCAGGGCTGGTCATCATGGCCAGAGAGTGGACCACTGATGCCGTGCACAGCAGGAGCAACTCGGCGACTTGTGGGTCCTTTAAGGGGTGGACGACCAGCCCTTGCTCTCCAGGGTCTCCTCAGGGTTTGACTGAGGAACTTTCTGACTTGTTTGTTGATTTAGTGACTGTATTTCTGGTAATGGCTTAAAAGGTTAAGAGAAGAAATGTAAAAAGAGCAAGCTCCCAAAATGTGTACAATTGCATATGGAAAGCAGAAAAATGAGATTGATTTTGGGTTTCTGATTGGAGTTCGAGTGGCATGGAGTGGGGTGGGGTTAAGGCAGTGG